TCTCCACGATCTATAGGCGGACCCTCACCCGCACCGCAGGAGAGCTTCCCCTCATGACATCAGGTGAGCTTCCAACGCTTCACAGGAGAGCTTCCAACGCTCCACAGGCGAGCTCCCTCGACACGCCTCCTCACCCGCATCCCATACAGGTGAGCCTCCTTGCTTTTTCAGGTGCGTTTTCTTCAATTCTCTACCTCGTACAATATTTGATAAACCTTAAATTTTGGACGAACACCGCGAACGCCAAACATGCCAAACCTGTTGCACCATTATACCATGGTTGCTAATATACCCTCTAACCGGGATCAAGCTAATCATAGTTCTGCATGTTACCCTCTTGGGTAGATCAACATTGGCTGATATGAAGCAAGTCCAAGTAATACTAAAACTTGATACATGTTACTACTTTGGTCAACATGTCTGCTGGGTTCTTATTTGTGTACACCTTCATGAGAAAAATATAACCTTTCTTTATGACATCCCACACAAAATGATACCTAAAGTTGATATGCTTGGTACGAGCATGATGAACTTACTTCTTAGCCAAATGAATCGTACTCTGACTGTCGCACCAAAAGTTTGCGCAATCCTGCTCAATCCCCAAATTATCTAACAGACCCCACAACCATAATACTTCCTTTACTCCCTCTACCATGGCCATGTACTCAGCCTTTGTAGTAGAAAGTACCACTGTAGTCTGTAATAGCGATCGCCAACTAACTGGAGCATCATGTATTTTGAATACATAACCAATAATAGATCGCCATCTGTCTAGATCGCCCGCATAATCAGAGTCCACAAACCCATTAATCTGACATGTATCTCCATCAAAACACAGATCCGTGTCAGCAGTATCCTTTAAGTACCTCAGGACCTATTTCACTGCTTCCCAATGTGCCTTTCTTGGATTCGCCATGAACCTACAGATAACACTAACCACCTATGAAATATCTGGACGTGTATACACCATTGCGTACATCAAACTTCCAACTGCACTAGCATAAGATACACCCTCCATGTGTGTCTTCTCTTTCACTGTAGTGGGAGAATGTTTACCTGAGAGTCTGAAGTGTGGAGCCAATGGAGTCACCACCGACTTAGCACTTTGCATCACAAACCTTACGATAACCCGCTCAATGTAGCCTTTCTGACTAAACAACAATCACCAATTTACTCGCTCTCTTCTAATCTCTATTCCCAGTATTTTCTTAGCAGCGCCCATATCTTTCATCTCAAACTCTTTACCAAGTTGAGATTTCACCCTATCTATCTCCACCTTGCTTCTCGAAGAAATAAGCATATCATCCACATACAAAAGAAGATAGATATAATCACCTCCACGAAGCTTCCGAATATAGACACAACAGTCATAATCACTTTTGGAGAACCATGCTTTAGCATGAAGGAGTCAAATTGCTTGTACCACTACCGAAGAGATTGTTTCAATCCATAAAGTGATTTCCTCAAGCGACATACCTGATTCTCCTTATTCTTAACCTTGTAACTCTCAGGCTGATGCATATAGATTTCCTCCTCCAAGTCTCCATGCATGAAGGCCGTTTTGACATCGAGTTGTTCTAGCTCAAGATCACCATGAGCAACAGTACTCAATAGCACCCGAATAGAAGTGTGTTTCACCACTGGAGAAAAATCTTATTGTAATCCATACCTTCTCTTTGTGCAAACCCCTTAGCCACTAGTCTAGTCTTGTACCTTATACCTCTAAGCTCAGAAGGATTTTCCTTTCTTTTGTACACCAACTTATTACCAATAGCTTCCTTCCCTACGGGCAATGAGACCACCTCTCATGTTTGGTTCTTCCGAAGAGATTCCATCTATTCTTCCATTGCAGCTAACCAACTCTCACTATCCCTATCGCGAATAGCTTCTTTGAAGGTGACCGGTTCATCATTCTCCACTGAGAGTGCGTACTTAATTAAATTTATCTATCCATAATGCTTCAGAGGCTGATCTGATCCCAGCTTCTTAACATGCTTGTATGCTTGCCTTGGCCTAGTGGAATCCAAACTATATTCGAGCTATTGTTGTTGTAATACTTGTATATTTTTTTGCTGAACCTCCTCTTGTTCAAGCTCATCATCTTCATGATCCTCCTCTTGAATATGACTAGAACCTGGTTGGTCTTTAGGTTCTATTTTAATCATATGGGACTTAGAAGTCCCAACAGTCCTAACATCACTGTTCTTGGATGCTTCTGGCAATCATGGATTTCTCATCAAAGGTAATATATCTACTGATCATGAATTTAGAATCTTCTGTACACCACAGGCGATAGACTTTTACGCCCTTTGCATACCCTAAGAATATTACCTTCTTAGCCCTCGTGTCAAGCTTTCACTCGTTGACGTGATAGTATGCGGTACATCCGAAAATCCTGAGCCTATCATAATCTGAATGTTTCCCTGACCATACCCGATAGGGTACATCACCATCCAATGTCAAATGTGGAGATCGATTCACTATGTAACAAGCTGTAGCAACCACTTTTGCCCACCATTCTTTGCCCAAACCAGCATATGATCGCATACTCATTGCTTTCTCCCGTAATGTATGGTTTAGTCTATCTGCGACTCTATTCTGTTATGGTGTAGACCTGACTGTCCAGTATCGAGCAATACCCTCCTGATCACAGAACTCTTTGAAGGCACCATCTGTATACTCTATACCGTTATCAGATCTCAGTGTCTTCAATTTCTTGTATGTCCTATTCTCAACCATTGCTTTCCACTTCTTGAATGTCTCGAATACCTCATTCTTATGTTTAAGAAAATAAATTCAAGCATACCTTGAATGATCATCTATGAACGAGATAAAATACCTGGAACCACCCTTGGAAGTTGTTTGAGCCAGACCCCAAACATTTGTATGCACATAGTCTAATATACCTCTAATCTTGTGCTTGCTTCTCAGAAACTGAACCCTGTGCGCCTTTCCATACACACAATGCTCACAAAAGTTCATACAATGTTTCTTCATGTTCTTCAGCAAACCTCCCTTACCAAGCAGATCTAGACCCTTCTCTGATATGTGCCCAATCCATCTATGCCATAACCGAGTATGCTCACATAAGTCTCCACCATTTCCACCAGTTCTAACTGCTGCATCTCCTGTCACTGTCGTACCCGAGAGAGTATATAGATTACTGTGATGAATACCCTTTATCACTACTAATAAACCCCGAACAACCTTCTTTACTCCATTCTCTGTTATAATCTTGCAACCACCAGAGTCCAAAGCACTAACTAAGATAAGATTCTTCTGCAAGCCGGGAACGTGCCTTACGTTTGTTAAGGTTCTGATTACTTCATCATGCATTTTGATTTTTATATCACCAAGTCTCACCGTTTTACAAGCATGGTTATTCCCCATCAATACGATTCTACCATCAATGCTTCTATATGTAGTAAACCACTTCCTATTTGGGCACATATGGTAAGAGCAATGCGAATAAAAAATCCACTTACCGGACATATCTTCATCACCCGTAATAACGTAGCATTCATTATCGCTCCATTCATCCGAGACGTAATTCGCCTCTTCCTTGCCTTCTCTTCTCTCAATTTTATTGTTGTTATTTTTCCCACCTATTCTATTGTTATGATAATTAACCTTGAAATGCCCAAGCTCACTACATTTAAAACACGGTCTTCCTGTAAGAGGTCTTGATTTCGATCTAGACTTTCCTCCCTTGCTTTTTTCTCACTCATTGCCCCTTCCTCTTACAAACAATCTTTGTGGTTTTCCTTGTTACCACTAGTAGCCATGTCACTAGTTGTAATTTTCTAAAGATCATCCGCCAGAAGCTCCGTTCTAGTCTCATCCATCTTTAAATTATCATCTACAAGCATCAATATTTGTATCAGGTTCTCATAAGACTTCGGTAAAGAAAAAAGTAGCAGAAGTGTTTGATCCTGATCTTCTACTATCACATCAATGTCCTTCAAATCCGATATGATCCTATCGAACTTGTTGATGTATTCCCAGATTGACGAGCCTTCCTCCATCTTATAAGTATACAATTTAGATTTCAAGTAGATCCGATTTGTTAGACTCTTTGTCATGAATGTACTCTCTAACGTTGACCACACACCCGCAGTCGTTTCCTCTCCATCCACCAAGAAAGCAACGTCCCTCACAAGGCATAGGATAATTGACGCTAGTGCTTCGAGATCTAACTCTTCTCAATCCTCATCTGACATATCTTTGTGCTTCTTTTCTCTTCCTGCTAAAGCCTTGTGCAATTTCTATAAAATTAGCGAATTTTTCATCTGCATCCTCTAATAAAAAAATCATTCTTCCCAATAAACTTTTCGATCTCATACGTTTTAACTTTAACTGTTTTACTTGTAGACATTATTCTCCACTTGTATTAATAAATCCGCTTCTCTTAGAAAATTTTAACAAATACCTTGTGTGCACCACACAATAACCAAACACCACCTCAGATCAGAAGTTTTACCACCACTAATTTGAATAAGAGGCTCTGATACCAATTGTTGGGAGCGAGGGACACTCACTTAGCCGTGAAAGCAAATCAACCCGAGAGAGAACAACCAACAATAATGAATACACAGATAAAATAGTAAGTAAATCAGACGAGATAACAGATTTACGTAGTTCGGTAAACTTGCTTACATCCACGAGAGCCGCACGGATAATTTCTTATTTAGCCATAAGAAATTACAAACTTGCAAAGAGAAGATCTCAAACTTGAGATTTTTCAAATGGATGCTAATCTACACTATATCAACAGTGTAGATCTCTCTCTTAACTCCCCCTCTTTAATTACTCAACTTCTCCCTCTTTAATTCTTGAGAGCTGGGACAAATGGGAGCTCAAAATCGCACAGGGAAAACAAATGGTGCCGGCAAGAAGCTCCGCTCACTCAAATCGCGTGAACAGTGTTTCCCTTTTATAGGGAAACCCTAGGGCGAGCTCTAGCGAGCTCACCCTCGCCTCTCCACGATCTACATGCGAGCCCTCACCCGCTCCGCAGGCGAGCTCCCCCTCGCGACATCAGGCGAGCTTCCAACGCTCCGTAGGCGAGCTCCCCCTCGACTCACCTCCTTGCTTGCATCCCAAGTAGGCGAGCTTTCTCGCCTCACGCAGGCGAGCCTCCTCGCCTCTTCAGGTGTGTTTTCTTCAATTCTCATTTGGTTTGGTGGTTACATAGTACTCTACAAATATATTTTAATTAAAGTTAAAAAGTAACAATCTATTTGTTTTCAAGAAAAGTGAATTTATATTTTATTTAAGTATTATAATTTCTTTGACTTCCACCAGTATAAACTAAATAGTCCTATATCTAAATAGATGGCCCATATCCTTTTATCATTTCTTTCATCTAGCTAATGTAAATAAATTATTCTTTTAAGAGCTATATGATATGTAGTAGTACACTGTGTGCAAAATTCTTTATTCTTCCAAATCCAGCACTTTTTGTCAAAATCTTATCCCACGTGGACTCTCCAACATCAGTTTGCATCTCAAAAATGCACCGACCATGCTTTAGCTGGTTAAGGTACAGACATTTTGCACATGTTGAGATTACGTTGCCTTAAAATATCATCCTTGGACATACTTTTCCTCTTTTGTAGAAGATGTTCTATATTCCAGATGAAGGAACAATACTTTGACTGTTATTAATAAGTCATTTAGGATAAAGTAATACTAAAAATAGTTGTTTTAATACTTTTTTGAGTAGATTTTAGGACGCTGACTTTGTGATTTGTGAGGGCTTACCGAAACCCTTGTATTAAATGCATGGTTATGTTATTGCACATTCTGGATATGGCCCCTATAATGTTATTTCTAGAAAAAACCTATTATATGTGAGATAAATTAAGAAGTAGAACTCTAGCTAGCATTGAGTATAAGTTTGAAGGCTATTGTTATATTGTAACATGTCATAATAGGCAAATTCCCCAGGATAACCAAATATCAATCACACGAGAGCAGTAAAAATAACAAGAACACACGAACACAAAGATATATGTGGTTTGACTTGTAGCCTACGTCCACGAGCGAAGGAGGAGAAAATCTTTACTAATTGTGAGAAATACAAAGTAGAATCTCTCAATCTCTCAATCCCAAATCACACCTCAAAAGCCTAATACAACTCTCAACTAAAGGAACAAAATAGAAGAATGTCATATAGACTTCACAAAAGAACTCACTCTTTTTGATTGATGCTCTGAAGATTGATACATCTAATTGGCTTAAAAGACTGTTCTTATATAGCCTTGAAGATCCCAACTCCTTGCTGTCTAAGGAATAAGAGTTCTAATAGAAATAGAAGTCCACATGTCCTAAAACCCAACAAGAGTCCAAGTAGAAATAAACATCTAATATGATTGGTTGTGCAAAGTCTAATCTAAGTAGGACTCTCGATCAAAACAAACATACCTAAAAAAGAAACTCTCAAAGCAATATGGATTTGAGTATTTGAGACAACCTATAACAAATCTCCATCTTGACTCATATGCGTAGAAGATTTCTCACTTCAAAATAAGCTAACATACTCCACCTTCTCCAATAGCCCCGCAGGGCATCTACGTGTGTCACGTATCGATCAAGTCCAAGCTTGGCTTTAACTTGCTAACTGAAAGAGACCTCCTCAACAAATCGACTGAATTGTCCGCACGACGACCGTAAATATTAGCGAACTCATCACTTGAAGTAGCTCCTGAATAACTGAAGGGCACATAATTGCCAACCGACAATGCATAAGCTACCGTATCTTCATATCTTCGTGGTGGTCGAATATCTCGTCTAAACCGATCTCTAGCAATAGTGTATTTCTGCTCTTCTTGCAGCTGCTAAGGTGCTTCATCTACTTGAACAGGATCTGGCTACTAAACTCCTGTAGTCTTATCTTGCTGAAGAGCTGAATCACGAATTTCTAACTTCACCTTATGTCCTGTAGTGCGCGTCTTATCAACAATTGAAACTAATGACTTTTCTGGTGGAACATAGCAGATTTATAAAAAGTAACATCATGGCTAATAATAAGCTTGGAGGCAATTTCAGCTACATGAGGCATCAAGCAGGCCACTTCCTCAGCTCCAAGAGCCTCCCTCAATCTTTATTGAGGCCTAGCAGTACAACTGACCTCGCGGCCTTTGCGTCCCTCTTGCGATTTTCCATCAGCGGAAGAGCAAGAGGACTCGCCCTCTCCAGATCGCCAGTGGAAGATAAGATCATGGACAGGCCCACCATTTGGAGAGACGCATCACTGAATAGATCGTCCCTCTCCCCGTGACCCGACATAAGAGTGGACCCTCTCTAAGACCCCATCTCCAGATCGCTAAGGGCAACCGTCCTTAACGCGTCCCTATTCACCTCCGACCAAGTTGAGCAGGCAAAGATGTGGTCAATATCGTAGACCCACACATACCTTTCTCTCCCGCCCTCGCTTAACTCTGAAGAGTCAGAGACAAGCTGGAAATCACCACTGTAGTGGTAAAAGTAGTACGGGTCCTTTTCTGTGTACCCAATGCTAACTAGATGACCGAGCAATCTCATGCTCGACTGTACTCCCACATGGTGGCAGATTATTATAAAAGCCACCAAAGCCCTACCGCACCTGGGTAAAACTGGGAAGGGGAAAAACCCAAAGCAGCATGTACCTTCCTAATGAAAGGATGAAGAGGCATCCATAAGCCTTGTTCCAAATGGGCAAGATATACAAGCACTCGATTCTCGTCGTGCCTATGCACCGGCTCGCTCCTCTTGGGTGCTGCCAGTGTAAGAGACTTAAGGATATCATAAAGCTCATAAAGCCTCTCCATGTCATCTATACAGACTCTTGAGCGAATGAGGTTCAGAAGAGCAAGATTTTCCTCGTTACGGCCAGTGGTCGAAGCTTGAGAAGTCATTAAGAATATTTCCGCTCAAAGCTTAGAAGACAAGTTTTCAAGAGCAAAAGTTTGTAAAGGGAGTTTATCAGGCTTGACAAACTATTTATAGCATTCTGGAGAGCCACGTGGGTTGGTCTGAAGGCACAAGGTGTTTCAAAATAAACTTATGAGATCTACCTTGGAATCTCAACCGTTTTATTCAAAACACAAAGCATAGCCTCTTTACTTCCCCACATCTTGACGCTCGAAAAGTGGAATGCCCCCTATTTACTCCATGATGCTTCGATTCCTGGAATGATGATTCAAATCCCAGAGTGACATCAGCCAATAAGAACGGAGCTATGGTAGATATAGGGGCACCCGGTGACATCAACCACGACAGATAGCAGAAGCTCTTCAATTTCTCAAGGACAAAAAACTTATTTTATTTCACTCGAACTCGGCTCAAGCCGTCTCTAAGTGAAATGGGTCAATTATTATGATGTTCTCATTCGCTAGAAATATAATATATAAACAAACTACTAAGAGTGCATTTCAGCAAACAAGACCCCAATCAACTTAGAAGCCCAAGCCCAACAGAGGCATCGACCCCGCCGACTCATCAAGAGGCATCGACATTCTTTCATGCCGACATGAAAGGCGTGATCAGCCGACCCTATCGTCGAAGACGACCCACCAAGGGTACTCGACCATTTACTCGGCGACTCACGGAGATGACTTGATGAACATTCCATGTCGATTAGATTGAGGAATAACCTCCGCCTCAAGTCTCTTCCACTGAGCACATGTCAGCATCCTAGTCCACCTCGGACAAGCCTTATCTTGATTTTACCTTGAAGGTCTTCATGACTTGTCAGCCTCCTTCATGCCTTCTACCACGCTCTTAATCACTTCTTGGAAAATACGGAGACACCCTCTCCCATATCGAAGTGACTTCACCTCAAGTCGCCAGTCGACACCTGTAAAGCAAGGGATGACTCAGTCTGCTAGCGTGCCTTCTGCGATGCTCTTAATTACTTCTCAAAAAATATGGAGACACCTCCTTCCGTACCGAATTGATTTCCCCTCTAGTCGCTAGCTAACACCTGTAAAGCGAGAGATGACTCGGCCCTTAGCCTACACTTTTCCATCGCCTCCCTATGCTTGGTGAAAAGTGACTCATTTATCCTCATCATGGTGATATATACAGGTAGACTCCTAACCTTAAAGGGGGCTCTCTCTCTCTCTAAGAAAGATAAAGAACACACACAGTTCTTTATATACATAGATGAACTCATAATAGACCCTCTGTAATGACACCTTGCCATCTTAAGAACCACCTCGGTTCCTGACCTTCCCCTTCCTCACTCAAGTTTCACTAACTTGACCGTCAGAGGAACCACGGGGGTGTTTGTTGAAAAATTTGTAGTAACAAGAAAAATAATAAAAGAATCGTATTTGATTTATTCTCTCTAACTGCTTAGAAAAAGAATGATTACAACCCTCTCAATCTTGATTACAATTTGGATTTCCTGATTATAAAAGAGAGGAGAATGAATTTGATTCTCCCCTTTGTTTAAAACTGGGTTCTTCACGGTGGAGATGGAGTGCCTCCCTCGAATGCTCGTGTCGAGTTTGCTCTCTGTTAACGATCCGAACGTTTTGATTTACTAGAACGTGGTCTTCTCCTCACGATTTGACATTGTGGAGGACTTGCAAAGCAAGTTTGAAACTCTGGACAAGTTGGTAACTCAGATCGAGTTTAGAAACTCAGAACGAGTTTAAACTCTGTAACAGAGTTGATTTGAATCAAAAATCGGTTAATAAGCTAGGGATGAAAGCTCCAAGGAATGCTCCAGAGATTGAGTGAAGACCCCCCTTTTCTGATCTCCAGATCCGAGAAATCCCCAAGATCCGAAGATGATCTGCTCAAGAGGTTGCTGATCTCTCCTTTTGCGATCTGTTTTTGATGCAAAAAGCCGATCCTTTAACTCAATTGAGTTTCTGGTATTTATAGGGGATTAAGGGTGGTAACTACCCCCTTAATCTGCTTCTAAGTGGGACGGAAATCCCTCAAATCATGGGGAAAAACGGTTCTTGGAACTGTTCGGTTCGTGTTTGAACGAGTCAAACGCCGAAAATGGCGTTCTGGGCCCGACCTCTGCGTTTTAGACTAAAAACGCAGAGTTGGGCCTATGTTGGGTGGCTGAACGCACAGGCCGCGATGCGTTGTAAATCTGAAACGCAGAGTTGGGACACAGAGATGAACTCTGCGTTTTAGACCTGAGACGCAGAGTTGGAACACAGAGATGAACTCTGCGTTTTAGACCTGAGACACAGAGTTGGAACACAGAGATGAACTCTGCGTTTTGGACCTGAGACGCAGAGTTGGGTTCTGCATGGACTCTGCGCTTTAAGTCCACAAACTCTGCGTTTTGACTCTGGAACGTAGCCACGACCTCTGTGTTTTGAGTTTGGAACGCAGCCACGACCTCTGCGTTTTGAGTTTGGAACGCAGCCACGACCTCTGCGTTTCTTGACTCTCAAATGCGGCCACGACCTCTGCGTTTTGAGTTTAGAACGCGGGCATGACCTCTGCGTTTTGAATCTTGGATGCAGAGGTGAGTCTCTGGCGGGCTTGGTGAGCTTCAGGCTAAGTCCAATGTTCTGACGAAGTCCAGTCTTGCAGACAGACTTCAGAACATAACTTGCTGCGAAGAACAGGTCATAACTTTCAAACCGTAAGTCAGAATTAGACGAATTATATATGAAAATCGGCTATCTCGACGAGACGAAGCCGACCAAACCGACCCCATTGGATTCGGTTTGCTCTGTCAGTTTTGCCAAATTCCTTACGGTTTGAGAGATATCTGCGTTTTAATATGAAGAGACCGTCGATTTGTAGTCTCTTTCACTAGAGCGTTTTGCAAAGATCGTCACTTTGTAACATTCGTCTTGGCTCCTTGAAAATATGAGAGTCATTAGATTGTAACTCCCGATGTTAATTGTGAAGGCTGTTGAATTAGAGCTTTCATTAGTTGTTGTGAAGATCGTCGGATTGTAACCTTCTACGTGAAAGTCTTCAAATTATAACCTTCTAGAAGTCGTCAGATTGTAACTTCCATCATCGGTGTTTGATGGGGATTGGCTATCTGTTATGATTTTTATACAGCCTACAGGGATTGTAACTTCCATCATCGGTGTTTGATGGGGATTGGCTATCTGTTATGATTTTTATACAGCCTACAGGGGGGAACCGGTCCCCGCTCACTCACGGATTCTTCTTGTATGTGAAGCATGAACTTCAGCATCCAATTTAAGAACCAGGCATAAAGTCGGAGAATGAGGCAGCCCCTTCATCAATCTCCTCTACATCGTCCCAGTGAGGACTCAAGAAGAATTGATCCTACCCCAGATCCGCACATATCCTCTTCTGGATACGATTTACTGGTTGATCTTAGTCATCAACAACAACCAATCATATTAGAGGACTCTTGTTAGGTTTAAGGACATGTGAACTTATATTCCTATTAGAACTCTTATTCCTTAGACAGTAAGGAGTTGGGATCTTCAATGCTATATAAGAACAGTCTTTTAAGACAATTAGATGCATCAATCTTCAGAGTACCAATCAAGAGGAGAGAGTTCTATTGTGAAGCCTATTTGATATTCTTCTCTTTTGTTCCTTTAATTGAGGGGCTTTTGCGGTGTGATTTGGGATTGAGAGATTGAGAGATTCCACTTTGTTTTCCTCACAATTAGTAAAGCTTTTCTCCTCCTTAACCCATGGATGTAGGCTACAAGCATAACTATGTATATCTTTGTGTTTGTGTGCTCTTGATATTTTTCATGCTCTCGTGTGGTTGATATTAGGTTATCCTGGAGAATTTGTTATAACAAAGATAAAACCTAATTAAAGATGAAACCTAATCCTAATAGGAACATAAGTCTAATTAGTATAATTATAATTCAAGAGTTATATAAGACACGTTCTCACATATTTCCTCTCCCTTAGATTTCTCACATAAACCCTAGCAGACAAGGTGCAGCCCTCCTCTTCATCTTTCTCGACGGATCACCCCCACCCCATTCTCTTCTTGCCAACCGCCAATTACACCAGATCTACCTCCTCTTCCTCTTTCTCTACGGCTCGATGGTAACATCAATCGCCCCTAGCCGACCCCCAGTTGCGGCAATAGTTACACCAAATTCGTCTCTTCTTCCTCTTTCTCAACAGCTCGATCGACGGTAACACAATTGCTCCACCTAATTTTCACCAACCACCTCTTGTTTTGTTATTTGGTTATGTTATTTCTTCAACTAATACAATTATGCGATCCCCAACTACTTTAGACAGAACCCATCCTATTATCTATTTTCAGATATATGGTCCTTAAATAGCAGAAATAACAATAAGATGTGAGTTTATCTTTAACAACGCATGAATTTCTAACATAGAAATACATTGGGAGACAATACTGTATAAACATACAATCAAATAATATGTCTAGGCTAAGGTTAATTAACAATCAATTGAGATTTCAAGCTGTCGTGATATCTTTTTTTTCTTTTTTTTTCTTTTTTTAATAAACGCCTTCAGTTTGAAGATCTAATTAAATGCTAATTAGGTTCTAGAGGTTATTGTTGATCCACATATACCCAACTCATAAATAATTAGATATCATAGTTTATTTGTAGTTCATAAATTCATCAGATTTTATACTTTATATATTTAATTACATGTACCTAACTATAATAGATTTTATTACACATTATACACTAAGGCATGTTGTCCTACTCCTCAATTGTAGGGTCCTTATGAAGGTTTTGCCTTTTCTTTTGGTCCTAGAGTTTGTTGTTAATCTACATATACCCCACTCATAAACAATCAGATTTCATAGTTTATTTGTAGTTCATAAATTCATCAGATTTCATACTTTATATATTTAATTACATGTACCTATCTATAATAAATTATATTAGAGATTATACACTAAGGTAGGCCGTTTTTGTTTGGTATAATTGCACTCAAGTACCCT